AATAGAGTAACGGGCGATATTTCCGGAAATGCAATTTGTGTTAAAGTTTGCATGCCATCTTGTGAATCACAATGCATCGCCAACCTACCTGAACCAGTTCCAGTCATTCCCCAACCTATGCCAGTCCCAGTAGCTCCAAGCCCTGCCGTATCACGACCGAGAATCTGCATCCCAGTGTATATGCCTATCTGCAGTCAACAGTGCATCGACAATCAACCACAGCCTTCACCTGTCGTGCCTCAACCGGTTCCTGCTGTACCTGAACCAGTTCCGGTCGTTCCCCAAACTCTGCCCTCAACTGCGAATGTGCACGAAACGAAATGACCTTAAATACAAGATTACCGAGAGCCGATTCCTGAAAAATGAACAAATGGGAACAGTTGCCAACGCTCTAACAAGTAATCAAGGTTGGAGATATATATTATGGCAAATAAAAGAGACTCATGGACTGAGCATCCAAAGGAGATATCAGATATCAGGTCAAAAATCAAACAGAGCTACACACCGAAAGGTCGCTTGAATCTGCGATATGTTGTCCTCTATTTGCTCGTGGACGCCTTCATAACAATAGACCAACGAAAAACGCAAAGCAACACGATGATGCTACACGCACACAGATGACGCACCTTAAAACACGCAAATGAACACGATTAAGAATTGATAATGCGGAAGCATTGGTCGACCTATCGGAATCAGTTTAGGTTAATTTTATGGCCAAAAGACTGAAAAGTATTCCTTTTCCATGTTCACAGATGAATAAATTTCAATAGCGATTCACGCTGATAAAAACAAACGCAAAGGCAATCAACCAGCCAGTATCGGTATTATTGCCGGGTATCCGTCGTCGTCGAGTCGTTTTCACGAAAATACATTCAACCATCGAATGAATGTTGAAAATCTAAATTGAGCATTAAAATTAAATCACCAAATAAAGGAAATAAGTAACATTTCTATGAATGAAGAAGTAACAATGGTGGAACTCTTTCTGTTTGTTAATACCTTTGATCGCTGAACTATTTACCGAGAAAAGATTCGAAAAGGAAGCTGAAAATAAAAATTATTCGAAGAATAACGGAAGTCATTCAGATAATTAATGATGCATCATGCTTACTCACGATGTATCATTAGATATTAAATAAATAAATAAATGAATAAATAAATAAATAAATAAATAATGTTTATAACATTATTTATCGACCATCTATTGAACGATCACAATAATAACAAGACGTTCGGGGAGAAATTCTGATGGCGCAGTTGAACTTACTGAGATTATTGACGTGAAGTTAGGTCTGAAAAGTGAGCTGAGTAATTAAATGATCAATATTTTATCTGTGTCACAATGCTAAAATTATGAATCATTTTCTGCTTCAATTTTCTGTTTCTCTCGAATTGATGACGGTCTTTTTGTTCGATTGGATTGAATTTATTGTTGTCTTATGGTGATTTATATGTGTCATCAACGCGATAATGTAATATTTTCTTTGATAGATTATTGCTAAAAGAACCAACCTGGATGTTGATCCTCTTCATTTCAATCTTATGAAACTAACGATAAACCGTCGATCGCAGGACGAGCACATTCATCGACCACTGCACACACTCGTTCGACTGATTCCATACGGTCGGTCATCATCTCCTGAAATCAAACACATTAAAAATTGAAATGATATTTTTTCATGAACGTAACATTAACTTCAAATTTTGCACGAGTGCTATGAATCGTACATGAAAAGGGTATCGGATGGCCTGTTGAACACAAGGAATAATGAAGGAAATAACAAAAACCAATCGCAAAGACAATCGGTCGGTAGT